GTTTGGTACAGTAAGACAGAGAACTGATGGGGACAAGTTCAGGGTTTAGGGATTGGTTTGGTACAGTAAGCCAGAGCACTGATGGGGACAAGTTCAGGGTTTAGGGATTGGTTTGGTACAGTAAGCCAGAGAACTGATGGGGACAAGTTCAGGGATTAGGGATTGGTTTGGTACAGTAAGCCAGAGAACTGATGGGGACAAGTTCAGGGTTTAGGGATTGGTTTGGTACAGTAAGACAGAGAACTGATGGGGACAAGTTCAGGGTTTAGGGATTGGTTTGGTACAGTAAGACAGAGAACTGATGGGGACAAGTTCAGGGTTTAGGGATTGGTTTGGTACAGTAAGCCAGAGAACTGATAGAGACAAGTTCAGGGATTAGGGATTGGTTTGGTACAGTAAGCCAGAGAACTGATGGGGACAAGTTCAGGGATTTGGGATTGGTTTGGTACAGTAAGCCAGAGAACTGATGGGGACAAGTTCAGGGTTTAGGGATTGGTTTGGTACAGTAAGCCAAAGAACTAATGGGGACAAGTTCAGGGTTTAGGGATTGGTTTGGTACAGTAAGCCAGAGAACTGATGGGGACAAGTTCAGGGATTAGGGATTGGTTTGGTACAGTAAGCCAGAGAACTGATGGGGACAAGTTCAGGGTTTAGGGATTGGTTTGGTACAGTAAGACAGAGAACTGATGGGGACAAGTTCAGGGTTTAGGGATTGGTTTGGTACAGCAAGCCAGAGCACTGATGGGGACAAGTTCAGGGATTAGGGATTGGTTTGGTACAGTAAGACAGAGAACTGATGGGGACAAGTTCAGGGTTTAGGGATTGGTTTGGTACAGTAAGCCAGAGAACTGATAGAGACAAGTTCAGGGATTAGGGATTGGTTTGGTACAGTAAGCCAGAGAACTGATGGGGACAAGTTCAGGGTTTAGGGATTGGTTTGGTACAGTAAGCCAGAGAACTGATGGGGACAAGTTCAGGGATTTGGGATTGGTTTGGTACAGTAAGCCAGAGAACTGATGGGGACAAGTTCAGGGTTTAGGGATTGGTTTGGTACAGTTAGACCGAGAACTGATGGGGACAAGTTCAGGGTTTAGGGATTGGTTTGGTACAGTAAGCCAGAGAACTGATGGGGACAAGTTCAGGGTTTAGGGATTGGTTTGGTACAGTTAGACCGAGAACTGATGGGGACAAGTTCAGGGTTTAGGGATTGGTTTGGTACAGTAAGCCAGAGAACTGATGGGGACAAGTTCAGGGTTTAGGGATTGGTTTGGTACAGTAAGCCAGAGAACTGATGGGGACAAGTTCAGGGTTTAGGGATTGGTTTGGTACAGTAAGCCAAAGAACTGATGGGGACAAGTTCAGGGTTTAGGTATTGGTTTGGTACAGTAAGCCAGAGCACTGATGGGGACAAGTTCAGGGTTTAGGGATTGGTTTGGTACAGTAAGACAGAGAACTGATGGGGACAAGTTCAGGGTTTAGGGATTGGTTTGGTACAGTAAGACAGAGAACTGAAGGGGACAAGTTCAGGGTTTAGGGATTGGTTTGGTACAGCAAGCCAGAGCACTGATGGGGACAAGTTCAGGGATTAGGGATTGGTTTGGTACAGTAAGACAGAGAACTGATGGGGACAAGTTCAGGGTTTAGGGTTTGGTTTGGTACAGTAAGCCAGAGAACTGATAGAGACAAGTTCAGGGTTTAGGGATTGGTTTGGTACAGTAAGACAGAGAACTGAAGGGGACAAGTTCAGGGTTTAGGGATTGGTTTGGTACAGTAAGCCAGAGAACTGATGGGGACAAGTTCAGGGTTTAGGGATTGGTTTGGTACAGTTAGACCGAGAACTGATGGGGACAAGTTCAGGGTTTAGGGATTGGTTTGGTACAGTAAGCCAGAGAACTGATGGGGACAAGTTCAGGGTTTAGGGATTGGTTTGGTACAGTAAGCCAGAGAACTGATGGGGACAAGTTCAGGGTTTAGGGATTGGTTTGGTACAGTAAGACAGAGAACTGATGGGGACAAGTTCAGGGTTTAGGGATTGGTTTTGTACAGTAAGACAGAGAACTGATGGGGACAAGTTCAGGGTTTAGGGATTGGTTTGGTACAGTAAGACAGAGAACTGATAGAGACAAGTTCAGGGTTTAGGGATTGGTTTTGTACAGTAAGACACCACACTGATGGGGACAAGTTCATTCCTGTCAATATTGACTTACATTCCCAGATTTCAAGTTTATGAAGGTGATGGGTAGAACTCTTTTGTAGTTGAGGCCAAAATGTTAAGATGTGATATATGTTGTAATTGTTGCTTTTTATTTATGGTTGTAGGATTTTTTTTACATAATTTTGACCTTATTGTGGGATTTTTTTACCTCATTGTGGGACTTTTTACCTCATTGTGGGATTTTTTACCTCATTGTGGGATTTTTTGCCTCATTGTGGGACTTTTTGCCTAGTTGTGGGATTTTTGACTTCATTGTGGGACTTTTTACCTAATTGTGCGATAGGAAAGGAACATCCTCTGACTAAGGAAAGTCAGTATTGTGTAAACAGAATACGGCCATATTTAGGGGAAAATAGAGGAGGTTCCAAAACAGGGGTCAGTATTTATACCAATATTGGAAACCTGAAGGAAAATACACCAAAATATCAAACCATTGTGACTGCCATTTTTATTAGTTTAGTGTATTTGATCCCAAATATTCATTATCATCACAAGTTGAAGAGCGTTCTCCCTTTTTTTGACACATTTCTGGTCATTTCTGTGTAATTTATGTATGATCATGTTCTGTTGATTGATTGACAGTTATCAATTTGGATCATTTTCTCTGTCACATCTTAGCTCGATGTTTCAATTCTTGATAACTTTAATTTGTCAACTCTTTCTCTGATTCTGATACTTTATCGTCATTTCTGAACAATTCAAAATATTCTGTTGAGTAGATAACAACAAAGCTGATACCCGATTACATATTCATTTAATCTCTTTATCAAACATAAAAACTATTCCATTTTTTATTTGAAAATTTGACTCAAATTGACAACATAAATTATGTATGTAAATAAGCAGTAATGTACCTAGATGGTACCTAGAAATGTTGTAGTAGCGAAGGCCTTCTGAAACTTGATTTTGATTTCAGATAGACTGAAGTAACGTCTAGTCTATTGTTATATTAATCAGATTGAGTTTTGATTTAAAAATACTATTTTTATAAAAGTATACACTAGTAAATAACAAATGTAAAATGTTTGTAAAATAATTCTCGGGTTTTTTCTGCACAATAATGTTTTCCACCATTAACAGACACACCACTATCGGTAAATTCAATTTTTTTTTCGTGATTGAGACTGGCAGAGAAAGTTGCAGAATCATGAGGTAAAGTTGACACCACAAGATTTTATGTGTCAATCATGTTGCTGTTTAAGAAATGTCATTTGAGGGTTTCATGACTGTTATCATAAGAAAATTGTCAGCTTTCCTCTAGTAATTCTGTCTTGTTGTCAGATTTATGGGCTCAATATCAAAATTGCTTGAGTCCAATGACGTAGAACCATTATTCAATCAATACAGCTACACATTGAAACATTAACATAGAATCATTGCCTGAGTTGTATCTCTTAAGTGATTCTTTTGATCTCCCAGGAAAACATCAAAATGGTGAGATGCAGCTTCATAGAGATGTGTGATCTTAAATTGTGGAGTCAGCAATATCTACAAAGCCATTTAATGTCTTTACACTTCACATGTTATCAAAGAATGATGATAGTGATAAAACGTCAGATATACTGGAGGAAGATATTTTATTTCCAGTTAAATCTGCCTCCACTCTTCTTTTTAGCCCACCATCATTATAAATAGCAGGATCCTCATATCACCCTACATCCCTGATCCCTCGTCTTTCCTTAAAAATACCTGTCCTGACTAATATTTTGGAAGTTCTGGATGAATCTTTCCCCAATTTTATGCATACATGTTTTCCCTTCTTCTCTAGTTGTGCCTTTTTTTTTTTGGGTCATCTGTCCAAAAGGGTCAGAATTACCTATATCATATAGTCATCATGTTTCATCTGTTGTTGTGTGCCTTATGTAAGTCTTTTCAACCTTCTTCTCAAGTTTTACCTTTGATTTCAGCTCAAAAATTCCTGTTATATTGTTAATAGGTCTTTATAGTCAAATGACCATTAAAACCCATGAGCCTCTTTTTTTATAGTAAGAGTGATCAGGAAAAACAAGATGGCAAACAGGTGCCATCTTGAATTTTGATTATGTTACTTTGTTATCACTAATTATTGAGAAGTACTTGCTGTATCTTTCTCCAGTTTCATATATAGTTACCCTTTTTCCCTAGTGGTGCTATTTTAATTTTGATTCAGATTTAAAAAAGCACAAAGTATGTCATCATGTTGGATTTTAACAATTAAAAAATTTGCTGTTGCTTAAGAAATACTTGATGGAATTTGAAAAAATTGTAGGTTCTACTAAGTCCTTAATACTTCTACTCTGCCTGAAGATCTTTTAAGATTTTAATGTAGGTATTACTTGTTTACTGTTCTACTTAAACCAGCCAAGACGTAGTTTGTCATGGTTGAACGGGAACGAGGAGCATAAAGCAGTCAACCAAGAAGGATAGTACTAGACTCTGCTATGCTCTGTTGTGATTGAGCTGTATCCATATTATCCTGTATCCTATGTTTTGCTGTAAAATTGTACATAGTCTACCTGTTCAGCTTATTTCATCAGTCATCTTATTTCTTCTTTCAGGAGAGGGTGTATTTGGTACAGCTGATGTGGATAAGTGGGCGTGGACAAAAGTCTTCTGTCAGGAGAGGGTGTATTTGATACAGCTGATGTGGATAAGCCAGCGTGGACAAAAATCCAGAGATTTCTTACCTCATTTGTACTTTTTGGAATTTAAAACCAATCAGGAGACAAGTTATTGACGGTCACTCTACAGTCCATCAATCACAGGAGAAGCATAGTGCACAGTGCCTTTTTAAATTAGCAAAATTTCGTGGTCACTTTTCTTCAAAGATAATTTTTCTTGTGGAATGAATTTCCTACGGCGGAGGTTTAGTTCTGGAGACCTGCAGGGTGAACTGCGAGATGAAAATTCTAGTATACTCACTTTCAAAAAGGGGCCATCCCCTAGTGCCCCAAACTCCCCATCAAAATCTATGTCGGGAGCGGGGATCCCTCGGGCTCCAGTAGCTAACAACAAACCAGCTTATAATAAGGATCGATGTAAAACACTTCTTGTCATTGACGATCATCACACAGACTGGTTTGTATTCTTCTGTTTTTACCTAAATGAATTAACAGATTCACAATAGATTTACTTTTTGTTAAATAAAGCTACATGACATTGAATATTGACATTTGCATTAATGCAACATTAAACCTTGCCATGCCTTAGCCAAAGAATATATTCATATTTAAATGCTCTATAAACCTTGCAACAAGACAGAAAGACTTTCTTTCTTTTAAGTAGGAACACAAGAGTGACAAGGGATTTATTACAATCTAGTAACACCAGAGTGACAAGGGATTTATTACAATCTAATAACACAACAGCGATAAGGAATTTATTACAATCTAGTAACACAACAGTGACAAGTGATTTATTACAATCTAGTAACACAACAGTGACAAGGGATTTATTACAATCTAGTAACACAACAGTGACAAGGGATTTATTACACAACAGTAACAAGGGATTTATTACAATCTAGTAACACAACAGTGACAAGAGACTTATTACAATCTAGTAACACAACAGTGACAAGGGATTTATTACAATAGTTACACAACAGTGACAAGGAATTTATTACAATCTAGTAACACAACAGTGACAAGGGACTTATTACAATCTAGTAACACAACAGTGACAAGGGACTTATTACAATCTAGTAACACAACAGTGACAAGAGACTTATTACAATCTAGTAACACAACAGTGATAAGGGATTTATTACAATCTAGTAACACAACAGTGTGACAAGGGACTTAATACAATCTAGTAACACAACAGTAACAAGGGATTTATTACAATATAGTAACACAACAGTAACAAGGGATTTATTACAATCTAGTAACACAGAAGTGACAAGGGACTTATTACAATCTAGTAACACAACAGTGATAAGGGATTTATTACAATCTAGTAACACAACAGTGTGACAAGTGATTTATTACAATCTAGTAACACCACAGTGACAAGGGATTTATTACAATCTAGTAACACAACAGTGACAAGAGACTTATTACAATCTAGTAACACAACAGTGACAAGGGATTTATTACAATAGTTACACAACAGTGACAAGGAATTTATTACAATCTAGTAACACAACAGTGACAAGGGACTTATTACAATAGTAACACAACAGTGATAAGGAATTTATTACAATCTAATAACACAACAGCGATAAGGAATTTATTACAATCTAGTAACACAACAGTGACAAGTGATTTATTACAACCTGTTACACTAGAGAGATAATTACTTTGTTAAGTCTAAATCGATAAGAAATTATGATATGACATTCCTAAATACTACATACCACTTGAAACATGGGGGGTAACTAAAGAAAACTTGATTTCCAGCCCTGTGATTAACTAAATTGTGTCCGTGTGAGTAATTTTATTGGATTATGGGAATGACACCAAACACCAGACTGTTCTGTTGTTACATCAAAGACCCATACTGTCTGAATTAATGGGAAAGCAGTCATATTTCTATACTATAATTTGCACTTTATTTGTGATAACAGTACGTATACTGGAAAAGTCTGTCTCAAAATACAATTATAGCTATAAAACAGCTTTACAGCTTACTTTTCTGTTTCCTAAACTGAGAATTATGTTTGTATGGCTGTCCCTCACTAACCATTAATTAAATAACTCAGACTGATATCCTCATACTCGTTTATTGGTGGTGAAAAATTTGTACTGAGATAGGAATACACAGAGTCACCTGCTGATTGGTCAACTGGCATAGATTCACATTGCAATGGTCATCCATGAAACAGATTACACTTACCATATCGGGACACCTGGTCTTATAGTAACTAGGGTTCTGTTAGAGAGTTGAGGTGACCACCCTAGATTCTTCAGGGGTTATGATCAGTTTCACTCTCTGCATACAACATGTCATGGCAAAATCAAACGTTCCATGTGCGACACCTTGTGTACAAGACGAAAAGACTAGTTTGGTTCTGTGATGTACATCAAATGAATCTGGAGGTTGCTTAATGGTATATTGTAATGACTTTGAAGCTGGATGACTCTTCTTTGTAACATCCAAAAGCAGCATATCAGCTTGTATTTGGTCAGTTTTTTTCTCCTGGAACCAATCAAATTACTTCGTTTGTGTCTTTGATTTTTTTCCCCCAAGACATGTTCCAGGGAGTGACTGGCCATACACAACAGCTGGGATGTTAGGCTTAAATTGTTTAAATAAAATGCTTTTTTTTCGTTGTAGGTCAAAATACTTTCGAGGAAGAAAGATTTTTGGTGACTGGGATATTAGAGTAGAACAAGTAAGTACTTATATATAATAACTTAATGAATTGATTAGAAGCTTAAAACAAATGTAGTTGATCTCCAATATCGTCAAAATAAATACATCTTGAGAAAAGCAAGTTTTCATTAAGTAACATAAATTATCCTTGCTTCAAGACCAAAACCTCATCAATACATTTTAAAGTAATTGTAACAACGAAAAACTTCTCCAAAAAATGTTCGTCAGCACCTTCAGTAACATCCTCATTCCAGTGATGTTGCCACCCCCTCACTTCACTGACTAATGTAAAACATCTCCCCATTCCACAGTTGTAAAAATATGTAGACACCCCTCACTCCATGGATGTAAACACCTTCTGTCACCTCCCCATTCCACAGTTGTAAAAATATGTAGACACCCCTCACTCCATGGATGTAAACATCTTCTGTCACCTCCCCATTCCACTAATGTAAACACCTTCTGTCGCCTCCCCATTCCACTGATGTAAACATCTTCTGTCACCTGCCCATTCCACTGATGTAAACATCTTCTGTCACCTCCCCATTCCACAGTTGTAAAAATATGTAGACACCCCTCACTACATGGATGTAAACATCTTCTGTCATCTCCCCATTCCACAGTTGTAAAAATATGTAGACACCCCTCACTCCATGGATGTAAACACCTTCTGTCACCTCCCCATTCCACTAATGTAAACACCTTCTGTCACCTCCCCATTCCACTGATGTAAACATCTTCTGTCACCTGCCCATTCCACTGATGTAAACATCTTCTGTCACCTCCCCATTCCACAGTTGTAAAAATATGTAGAGACCACTCACTCCATGGATGTAAACATCTTCTGTCACCTCCCCATTCCACAGTTGTAAAAATATGTAGACACCCCTCACTCCATGGATGTAAACATCTTCTGTCACCTCCCCATTCCACAGTTGTAAAAATATGTAGACACCCCTCACTCCATGGATGTAAACATCTTCTGTCACCTCCCCATTCCACTGATGTAAACATCTTCTGTCACCTCCCCATTCCACTGATGTAAACATCTTCTGTCACCTCCCCATTCCACAGTTGTAAAAATATGTAGACACCCCTCACTCAATGGATGTAAACATCTTCTGTCACCTCCCCATTCCACAGTTGTAAAAAATATGTAGACACCCCTCACTCCATGGATGTAAACATCTTCTGTCACCTCCCGATTCCACTGATGTAAAAATATGTAGACACCCCTCACTCCATGGATGTAAACATCTTCTGTCACCTCCCGATTCCACTGATGTAAAAATATGTAGACACCCCTCACTCCATGGATGTAAACATCTTCTGTCACCTCCCGATTCCACTGATGTAAAAATATGTAGACACCCCTCACTCCACTGATGTAAACATCGTCTGTCACTTTCCCATTCCTCTGATGAAATAGATGACACTTCCAGACGCTCTTCAATTATGAGCGCTTTCTGGTACTTATCAAGGCTTCTATGCTGTTGTCGTGCCAGCACTTTTAAAGTACAGAAAAGGCTTTTTAAGACATTGTATTTGAATCAGCTAAAAAAAATTCAGACCATTTGGTAAAAAGAGAACAATCTGCGTTTATTGACTGTCATGGAATAAAAGGATGGTTTTTCATACATATTACATGAAACCATTCCTTTCAACTTCTAGCTTCTACATTATTGATTATATGTAAAAGTTGTGTTAAACTCAAAGTTAAATCAAATAGTCGCAACTGTAACAGTGTGTAGACCAACATGCATTTTTATAGTCTGTGTGGGCCCAACCGCAGTAGTACAGTGTTTGTCTCGTGACGTCTATTGGAAGTTCAAAGTAGTTTGGAGATATTTAGTATGGCAGAGGGAAACACTATGACAGGGGGAGTTAAGAGATAATTAGTACCAGGGGAAGGGAGACACTATGACAGAAGTAGTTAGGAGATATTTAGTACCAGGGGGAGGGAGACACTATGACAGAAGTAGTTAGGAGATATTTAGTACGGGGGAGGGAGACACTATGACAGGAGTTGTTAGGAGATATTTAGTACGGGGGAGGGAGACACTATGACAGAAGTAGTTAGGAGATATTTAGTACTGGGGAGGGAGACACTATGACAGGAGTTGTTAGGAGATATTTAGTACAGGGGAGGGAGACACTATGACAGGAGTAGGTAGGAGATATATAGTACAGGGGAGGGAGACACTATGACAGGAGTAGTCAGGAGATATTTAGTACAGGGGAGGGAGACACTATGACAAGAGTAGGTAGGAGATATATAGTACAGGGGAGGGAGACACTATGACAGGAGTAGTCAGGAGATATTTAGTACAGGGGAGGGAGACACTATGACAGGAGTAGTTAGGAGATATTTAGTACAGAGGAGGGAGACATTATGACAGGATTAGTCAGGAGATATTTAGTACCAGGGGGAGGGAGACACTATGACAGGATTAGTCAGGAGATATTTAGTACAGGGGGAGGGAAACACTATGACAGGAGTAGTCAGGAGATATTTAGTACCAGGGGGAGGGAGACACTATGACAGGAGTAGTCAGGAGATATTTAGTACAGGGGGAGGGAAACACTATGACAGGAGTAGTCAGGAGATATTTAGTACCAGGGGGAGGGAGACACTATGACAGGAGTAGTCAGGAGATATTTAGTACAGGGGGAGGGAAACACTATGACAGGAGTAGTTAGGAGATATTTAGTGATGCGTCTAGCCCTGAATAAGAGACGAAGCTTTAGTTGAAATTTTAAGTAAATAGTTAATGTTTTGTCTTGCTCATTACTTTTTACCCCATCTTTAGAGATACTAAATAGTTTTCTGATTTACAATAACGTAGCTCCAAATGAGAGAATGTGATTTCCCAAATCTAATATTGTCTATGTCTTATGATTTATTACAGGCAGAATTTTCGGAGTTAAATTTGGCTTCCTATACAGATACAGGAACGATGGTGGACATTCAGATAATGAGAAATGGAACTAAGGTGGTGAGGTAGGTGTATTAGGCCAGTTTATATACCATCGCTGTAATCATAAGCTACCATCTGCTGGAATGACATTTAACTAACTGTAAACAAATGAAAAGCAAACAAAAATTATAATTCATAAAAAAAAAAAAAACAAACAAGAAAGAAAGAAAAGATATACATATTTGACTCTAAACAACCAAAACTAAAAATACACTCTGTTATACAATGTAAGTGATGGTGTAGCAGTTGTTCTTCTTGGAACAACTTCTTCTTTTGATCTATAAAATATAGAGTCTTGATGTTTTAATCTGTAATTCATAGCTTGATTGGAATAAAAGGCTTCTGAAATTTGTTTAGGGAGGAATGGTTTTGACTTACTGTCAAGACAACAAAAATAAAATATGTTAAAATTTGTAAAATCCAGAAGCTTAAGAGTCAAGAAATTTGTACTGCAGATTCCTTGTGTGGAAGACTACCAACTTTGTTTGAGTGAATGAAATTGATTGATTTGTGTCAGTTCCAACCGCAGAGGAATATGTACTCAAGCACTATCAACTTACTTCAGTCAAAATATCATTCAGTGAATGTATATTCATGTAAACTTTGATTATTTTACAACAATTGCGAAACAAGCTATCAGCTTATATTAATCATTCTTGCTGGCCCGGAAGGAAGTGTGCGGAGAGTCTTACTGTGGGAGGAAACCAAAGTACCCAGGGAAAACCCACATGGTCAGGCAGGTGACCCCATACCATTTCATGTCTGTTCTTGGAGTTGAAACCCAGATGGCTAGGTGAAAAGGGAATCTGTTACCAATACAACATCTGACCAATAAATATATTTGTTATATCTGGGAATGAGGTATCAAGGCAAAAGTACAACACTTTATATGGATTAGAAATCCTGTCAGTACAAATATTGAATCTCTAGAAATATTGATGGCAAAGTTTAAAGAACATGTCATTTCCTTAAAATCACTTATTGTAAAACAAAAACTAGAGAAGAAAAAAAAAATCCTTTTTGAATATTAATAAATATCATTTCTGGAGAGTATACCAAAATCATATTTGAAGCAAAACTCATTTCTAGGCTTGAGTGTGTATGTTAGATGATATTTATGTAAAATATCATTTTGTACAATCTTTTAAGACAGAATCAATACTGGGTTCCACATTTAAACGACACTTCATATGACACCTCTCACCGCAGGCTAATGTATATTATATCACAAAGAAACTAAGTTCTAAGTTTGTCTCTGGGAGTATGTGTATATAGGGACAGATATATATCACGCTGAAATGTGATTTACCGTTTCATATAAAGCAACTGAAAAGACTAGTAACTAATTTAGTTCTGTAAAGGAAAGACATTGATCACCTTGTCAATTTAAACTGGAGAGAAGAAACAAACTGCTAATACCTGTTTGTGTAATTAAATTTTCTTTGGGTTATAAATTTTTGGATATCTCTCTTTTCAAAAAAAAAACATTGTTATTTAGATATTTTAATCACAAATTATTAAAAGAAGTTATGTTCCAAACAGCAGCTTTGTACTTTATGATACATGTGTCTGGAATTCTTTGATATCAAATTGTACATCTCTGTGTTGTGAAAGTAAAGTTGAAAGGGAGACTTTTAAAATGATTTTATATCATTCATCTTCTCATGAAAATTGGATATCTAGCTCTCTGTTAACGGTTGGCTATTTAAATCAACCTGTGTTTGGAATCTTTCGTATGCCGTAAGTAATTCTTATTATCACTATTCTTGAGAAGCACAAAATGGATCTTTCTAGAATTTCAGATGTAGCTTTCCTTTGTCCCTAGTTGTCTCCTTTTGATCTTGAAATTGATTAGAAAAAGAAAATGGTTGTAAAGCCAATATCTAGTATTTTAACCATGAAAGATTATTCAGAAATTTATAAATAGTTCCCTTTGGTCCTTAGCTATGGCCATTTGATTTTGGAGTTGTTAAAAAAAAAAAAAATGGCCGAAAGGCGACCATCTTGGATTGGACAAATAAAGATAACTATCACTATTTCTTCTAAGTAATTTCACAAATTTCAAGTAATTAAGAGCAAGAACAAAATGTAAGGATAGAAAGAAGGAAACTATTCCAAGATGAAATAAAGACCAAACAATGTAGACCACCAGGGTTTCTACAGGATCTCTTGTTTAGTTATGAATGCTGCTCTCCTTGAATCTTATTATCAAAACCTAACCCTATTGCAGCTGTTCCATTTATTTCTCAAGCTGATCCAGTCCTTACCCCCTTCCCTAACCTAACTATAAGGTCCCGACCCTTAGATAATCATCCCCTAGGCCCCTCAAATGAAACTAGCTAGTTATCCAGTCCCAGGTTTGCCCCAAATATCAACTAATTAGCCAGTCCCTGTCTCTCATATCTTAGCTAGTTATTCAGTCCCTTCCCCTTACCCCTCAGCTAATTATCCTGTACCTGCCCCTCCCCCCTCAGCTAATTATCCCATACCTGCCCCTCCCCCCTCAGCTAATTATCCTGTACCTGCCCTTCCCCCCTCAGCTAATTATCCCATACCTGCCCCTCCCCCCTCAGCTAATTATCCCTGCCCCACAATTCTCAGCTGATTATTCAGTCCCTGCCCCACAATTCTCAGCTAATTATGCAGTCCCTACCCCTCATCCCTCAGCTAATTATCCAGTCCCTGCCCCTCATCCCTCAGCTAATTATGCTGTCCCTGCCCCTCATCTCTCATTGAATTATCCAGTCCCTGCCCCTCATCTCTCATTGAATTATCCAGTCCCTGCCCCTCATCCCTCAGCTAATTATGCTGTCCCTGCCCCACATCTCTCATTGAATTATCCAGTCCCTACCCCTCATCCCTCAGCTAATTATGCTGTCCCTGCCCCTCATCTCTCATTGAATTATTCAGTCCCTGCCCCACATCTCTCATTGAATTATCCAGTCCCTACCCCTCATCCCTCAGCTAATTATCCAGTCCCTGCCCCTCATCTCTCAGCTAATTATGCCGTCCCTGCCCCTCATCCCTCAGCTAGTTATGCTGTCCCTGCCCCACATCTCTCATTGAATTATCCAGTCCCTGCCCCACATCTCTCATCGAATTATCCAGTCCCTGCCCCTCATCTCTCATTGAATTATTCAGTCCCTGCCCCTCATCCCTCAGCTAATTATGCTGTCCCTGCCTCTCATCCCTCAGCTAATTATGCTGTCCCTGCCCCTCATCTCTCATTGAATTATCCAGTCCCTGCCCCTCATCTCTCATTGAATTATCCAGTCCCTGCCCCTCATCTCTCATTGAATTATCCAGTCCCTGCCCCTCATCTCTCATTGAATTATCCAGTCCCTGCCCCACATCTCTCATTGAATTATCCAGTCCCTGCCCCTCATCCCTCAGCTAATTATGCTGTCCCTGCCCCTCATCTCTCATTGAATTATTCAGTCCCTGCCCCTCAACCCTCAGCTAATTATGCTGTCCCTGCCCCTCATCTCTCATTGAATTATCCAGTCCCTGCCCCTCATCCCTCAGCTAATTATGCTGTCCCTGCCCCTCATCCCTCAGCTAATTATGCTGTCCCTGCCCCTCATCTCTCATTGAATTATCCAGTCCCTGCCCCTCATCTCTCATTGAATTATCCAGTCCCTGCCCCACATCTCTCATTGAATTATCCAGTCCCTGCCCCTCATCCCTCAGCTAATTATGCTGTCCCTGCCCCTCATCTCTCATTGAATTATTCAGTCCCTGCCCCTCATCCCTCAGCTAATTATGCTGTCCCTGCCCCTCATCTCTCATTGAATTATCCAGTCCCTGCCCCTCATCTCTCATTGAATTATCCAGTCCCTGCCCCACATCTCTCATTGAATTATCCAGTCCCTGCCCCTCATCTCTCAGCTAATTATGCTGTCCCTGCCCCTCATCCCTCAGCTAATAATGCTGTCCCAGCCCCACATCTCTCATTGAATTATCCAGTCCCTGCCCCTCATCCCTCAGCTAATTATGCTGTCCCTGCCCCTCATCTCTCATTGAATTATCCAGTCCCTGCCCCTCATCTCTCATTGAATTATCCTGTCCCTGCCCCTCATCCTTTAGCTAACTTTCCAGTCCCTGCCCCTCATCCTTTAGCTAACTTTCCAGTCCCTGCCCCTCATCCTTTAGCTAACTTTCCAGTCCCTGCCCCTCATCCTTTAGCTAACTTTCCAGTCCCTGCCCCTCATCCTTTAGCTTATCTTAGAGGCCAGGTTGATTTACTTTTATTGTATATTTGAGACGTTTGACATGAACTCCACTAGAAGTAAAGTTTACCCAGGGTCTATTTCTGGTGGCAGGATCTTGGATATAATCAGAATATATAGGAAATCGGCCCCCAGATATAATTGATGTTAGACCTATTCAGATGTACAGGAGGCGTCTCTCTGGGAGCTGTTAGGTTGGAATAGATTTTTACATCCATCAGTGGTAACATGGACCTAAAAGGTCACAGGAATCGAAACCCACACTTTAGACAGCAATTATATTCTACTGAAGTGACTTCAGAGGTATTAAGAGGAGGCTCCGGTACCGTAACACACTGGATATATATATATATTTCTTTTTATTGCTATTAGCTGTATGCCAGTATAAATACATAGAGCCTTTGTTGCTTGCACATAAATATGATAAGCTAAGTTTGTGTAGACTTCAACAAAAGTTGAACTGTCTCATATTCTCTAGACTAACTCAGAGACAACTTTTGAGACACACATTGTGGTCCCACATTGTACAAACATATAGAGACACGTTGTGGTGTCTCATGTACAAACCTATAGAGACACACAATGTGGTGTCTCACATTGTACAAACCTATAGAGACACACATTGTGGTCTCACATTGTACAAACCTATAGAGACACACATTGTGGTCTCACATTGTACAAACCTATAGAGACACACATTGTGGTCCCACATTGTACAAACATATAGAGACACACATTGTGGTGTCTCATGTACAAACCTATAGAGACACACAATGTGGTGTCTCACATTGTACAAACCTATAGAGACACACATTGTGGTCTCACATTGTACAAACCTATAGAGACACACATTGTGGTCCCACATTGTACAAACATATAGAGACACACGTTGTGGTGTCTCATGTACAAACCTATAGAGACACACAATGTGGTGTCTCACATTGTACAAACCTATAGAGACACACATTGTGGTCTCACATTGTACAAACCTATAGAGACACACATTGTGGTCCCACATTGTACAAACCTATAGAGACACACAATGTGGTGTCTCATGTACAAACCTATAGAGACACACAATGTGGTGTCTCACATTGTACAAACCTATAGAGACACATATTGTGGTCTCACATTGTACAAACCTATAGAGACATACATTGTGGTCTCACATTGTACAAACCTATAGAGACACTCATTGTGGTCTCACATTGTACCAACCTGTAGAGACACACATTGTGGTCTAAAATTGTACAAACCTATAGAGACACATTGTGGTGTCTCATGTGCAAACTTGTTGAGATAAAAGAAATGAGGTCTCACGTTGTACCAACCTTTATAAAGCCAGACATTGTGGTGTCTCGTGTTCTAACCTGTGGAGATAATAGATTTAAATTTAGTTGATTGGCTTGTTGAAGTGCAAAAGTATTAAACTAAAAATCAAATCTGTGTAGTCTACTCAGCTATATTCTTAGCCATTTGGCAATTGATCAGTGACACTTTAGTGTGATGGAGGCAGGTGATCCTAGCAATGCTCTGGTAGTGACAAGGTGCATGAGATGGAGGCGGGTGATTGTTATAAATCCGGAGATTCTGATGTGTCAGTATATACTCCCGACACCACTGGTTTTCTACATTGATTTTATATTATCAGACAATCCATCATTTGCCCAGGACTATTTCCCCAATGAAATCTGGCCTCTGGTACCGTACAGTGTTGGTAATGTTGTATGTCTTCATTCCACGATAATGCTTTTTTGATGTTCTCTTCCGCAAAATCCAGGTCAATCAGAACCCTTGCTTTACTTAACGGTCTAGTTAATAAACTGACATTGGCTGTAGCTAATACATTGCTGTTCATTTTATTTCTATATACACAAGTATATGATATTTAATTATTTATCATTGTCTGAAAACATTGCTACAATGTAACCTTACCAATGTCAGTTGTGTATTACGAGCTCATGAACTGCCAACAGCATAGCTATTGCCAGTAAAGGAAATGAGGTTGACTTCCTTATGATAAGATGAAATTAAAAATCTGTAAATGTAAGCATTGAACGGCTTTCAGTTGACATTCATGGACTTTGAATGCCAACTGGATGAATGCAATTCAAACTGAAGTGCTAAAATGTTTCATTAGATTTTCTCATATCCCGTTGATTATCACATTCATTACCTTATCCATAATGATAATGCAACACTCAGATACAACATCATTTATCTCGTAAGTCAGATAAGTTGGTTTGTGTGTACAGTAAATCCTTGTTAGTGTGGACACTTTGGTTTGTGTGTACAGTAGAACCTTGTTAGTCTGGACACTTTGGTCCGTATGTACAGTAGAACCTTGTTAGTCTGGACACTTTGGTTTGTGTGTATAGTAGAACCTTGTTAGTCTGGACACTTTGGTTTGTGTGTTTGTGTTTACAGTAAAACCTTGTTAGCCTGGACACTTTGGTTTGTGTGTACATTAGAACCTTGTTAGTCTGGACACACTGCAGGTGGAGTCCCAGAGGTTTGCTGTTACCTACTTCCTACATTTTATTTTCTCAAATAGTGGCACGGTTCAGAAAATACACGTGTACTTGACGCTATTCTAAAATCATCTGTTGTATGAAAATTACGAAATTTTTCCAACTATGAGACTGCTGCACCTCCCTGTCTAGAATTTGACTTTTCTTTTGATGACTTTGGTTTGTGCATAGTCGCCTTATAGGCTTCAAAATTTAGGCTGTTAGCATCACTGACAAGTCCTAGAAGGAGGAAACAGCTGTATGATGCAGTTTAATTCATTGCTTGGCTCTACTCTATCTCACTCTAAATTATGAAAAGGTGCTTTTCACTTAATATGTCTTTTGTACAATCCTTGTTGCCATGTTTTTTTAGGTATGAGACATACTAAATTAACATAATATGTTGAAATTGATTAGTAGTGTACAGAATAGAAATTGGAATGTTTTATTCTTATGTCAATCAAGAGAAGGCTGTGGTATTCATAAATACATTTAAACTTCAAATTTATCTATATATATACATATATTAAAAGAGCAGGGTTTGGGTCAGACATGATCAGCTCACCACTATTAATTAATGAGCAGGGTTTGAGTCAGATCTAATTAACTCGCCACTATTAATTAATGAGCAGGGTTTGAGTCAGGTCTAATTAACTCACTACCATAGATTAATGACAAGTGTTTGGGTCAGACTGCAAGTTAATTAGGGCTGACCGAAACAAACACAAACACAGCACAAACCAGGCTTTGCCAATCTAATCATCCCACAAAAATAGATTAATGAAAAGTTAATTCGATTTGACCCAAACAAACACGAGCAGGTTTTTACGTCAGATCATATTAACCCACAACTCCAAAACTGGGTACCTAACTTATCAGTAGCAAGCTGGCGGCGCTTGTCACAATTTCATCATTTGCATTTTTAACTGTTTCAGGAGTGTGTAAAAAATCAATATCAAACAGGTCAGCAAATCTGATAAAGATTCTATCAATTAGCATATGTATCTTATCACATTCAAGTTCCAAAACCTAAGAAATCTTCTTTTGATATTAAGCTGCTTGCAATTCATCCCAATATTTTGTGTAATTGATGTAATGCAAAAGTAACAAATTGTTAGTATCCTTTATTACATGTTGTCATTTTAAATTGTCTTCATTCACTGAAATATGGTCAAGATGACCTTTTAGGACATATAGTAATTTTGATTCATCCAAATTATTGAAAACCGACGATACTACATTAGAAGTTAAGGTACTTTCTTCGGCTGGTCAAAAGTCAAAATTAGAGGAAAATTATTAGTGAAATCTTTTCATAGTTGTGAATTGTTTATTGTTGGGCAATCAGTATAAAATTGTTGTATATCTTTGTCATGCACTGAAGGTGCATAGTGCACTATGTATCGATCACTTAGAATTGAAATCTGGGTCACAACAAAGACACGTAAAAGTAACTGATGAACAGTATTTAAAACATTAATATGTTTCCAAGAACAAATATTAGACTCAACTTTGAAAATCTGCTTTTATTTCGTTTTCTCCCTAGATCATTTAAACCCGACTTCCTGCTGATACGACAAAATGTTAGAGATGCTTCAGAAGATTGGAAGAACTTACTAATTGGATTTCAATATGGTGGAATACCCAGTGTCAACTCTCTCCATTCAATCTACAACTTTCAGGATCGGCCATGGGTGGTATGTTGTCAAGTTATTTCAATTAAACTTCTGGTTTACACAGAATCATGTCATCTATATTTGGTCATAAAAATGTTTAAAAAAATGCCATCTCACTACTTCAAAGCATGTAAATGATCCAGATAGTAATCAGATACATTGATCGCCTATAATCCATCATATAATCGTTTAAACTCATCTGATTCGATGATTGGTTTGAATTTTTCATAATTGATCATTGGTGAATTAATAATTTATCTTTTAGCAAAAATCAAATTCATATCGTGCCATATAAAAATGCAAATTGCCAATAATATTCTTTTTTATAAGAATTCTAAGTAATTGAGGTATTTCAGAATAAAGTTAACAAAACAAAAAGAAAAAAAGAAAAGATAAAGACATCGTAACAGAGAATGTATTTACTTTTTATAAATATGAAACACAGTCCGTCGATTTTGTAACCGAATAACCACATCTAAAACCTATAAATTTTAACTGATATTCGATTATGATTTCAACCAATGTTCCATCACTAACAGATAGAGAGAATTTTGACCCGCATATAAACATTTAAGAACTTTTCATACATTTTAGAAATCTTATTGTAAAGAATTGTTTATTAATAATTTGAAATTTAAATAAAGTCATTGATTCGGACATTTCAGTTCTCTCAACTGATAAAAATCCAAAAGAAGTTAGGCCGTGACAATTTCCCACTGATTGAGCAGGCATACTACCCGAACCATAAAGAAATGGTAAGTTAATCTTGCGATTTTTTGTATTGTATTTCAGCTGTTGTCACGTCATGTTGAACCATGAGACATCAGATTCCTGTGTGTATATCATGCACAACATCGCAGCCATTCACAATCGAATACTGTTTGTTGTTCCACAAAAATATTGAACAGTATCAATTCAGATAAGATTCATTTCATACTCAGTTACTATGGCTACTAATAAATAAAAAATTCCAGAAAATAGAGGAAATTGAGGTAATGACTCACGAGACTGCGGGGAGAGCGGTTTTTTTAAATCTTTGGTTTTGCGGCTACAAAGATGGGTGCAGGTACTTTACTTGCATACTAAAGTTATGGTAATTATTACTGAAATTAAAGTTAATGTTTTACTATGAAATATGCTTTGTAAATTTGAATATGAATGTGAACTGTGGAAATATCTGTACACCTTTATATTTAATGATAAACAGTGCAGTCTGGTTAGATAAATATTGATCCTTTTATGAAGGATTAGAATCAGACGTCTAAAGCATTATGATTTGAACACATTTTGAAGGCCAATTATGACTGATTGTGTTGGTAGATATTGATGTCAGTATCGGTAATGTTTAAACTCTCTCTAGGTCTACAACATCTCATCAATAAACATACGAGCTCGTTAATTGACCAAATTAAACGATATTACAAATATGGCCTATTAAGGATATCAGGTGTATTGATGCAAGGTATTGGTGAAAGCTGGAGTTTCTTCCCTTTCAGCACTAGCAGCATGGCCCTTTCTGATAACTTGTTTTTGAAAGTTTCACGTTTTTGAAAGAAACTCTTTGTTTATGATTTAAGAATTATATACAAGCTATTTTGTGAAATGAAGGCACTTATAAACAGAACATACAAAATTACTGGTTTAACAAATGATAAATAAATGAAAAAAAGAAATGAAAATTGACTTTTATTTTTTAATAAAAAAAATCTAGTCTACTCTGAGAGGCATTTATGTTCGTAAGCATGCAAGATTTTATATTGTACTGTATATAGAAAAAAAGAAAGGAAATTTGGACTTGTGAGGGTCTGTGGTACACAAGGCAAATTCTTCCATGGTTCACACAACCATGAATAGCCAGACCACCATGGTCCTTTAGTACATATATAAACAAAATCCTGAGTTTCATTTTACACTAAATATTTTTATGAGGACAAATTTTAACATTAAGTAATATATTTCAAAATTTCACAGAAATCAAAACTTGCTTCAAATATTTTGTAAAATACCATCTTACACTTTGTTTTTTTTCCTGGAGATAATATGAAATCCATTTGAGAAACACTCCATTTGATGACTCAGACTTAAAGTAATTTATTTCAAAGTTTCATTTTTCCCAGAAGAAATTATTTCTCTGGCCATTTGCTGTGAGACACTGATCTATCTGTGGGTTTGTCTTCCAGGTGCAACCCTTTCGACCTTTCTTGTTTTCATATAAACAAATTCCATATTTGGTGTAACAGCTAAAGATTCCAATGTCCATCATACATTGGTTGTTGGTCTTTGCCGATGGTCTGTGTTTACATTGAGATCCTGTACAACAGCGAACCTGTTGGAACAAAAATATCACACAAACATCTGCTCACTACATGTAATATATAAAAAAAAATCTTTGAGATATTGGTTTGGGTTTATCACAGTCAGTAAATGTCATTGTGTAGAAATTCAGATCGCAGACACATTCCCAATTCTTTATACATTTTTATGTACCTGGAAGACACTTTACAGATGAGGATGGTTTTGTAACTGTTATTCTATAATAAGCCCTGGGACCAAAATATAACCACTGACGCAGTTGAGGGAGTCAATGCATGAATATTAAATATTTGCTGGCGTTTCTTGAGAACTTTAAACATTTCTACAAAATTTATGCAGAAAGACTAATCGCCCACCACAGACTTATTGCCAGGTAAATATCTGACAATACTTACAACACCTATTTTCTTACATCTTATTTCGTACTTTTACAATTACCAACATCTGAATTTTGTTAAAAGTTTTCTTTCCATGTCACTAATCAACATGTTTTTTGTTTTTTTTTTTTAAATTATCCTCTTTGCAGGGAAGAATGAGTTTTCTCCCTTGATAAAAACACTCTTTCACCCAATCATTAACATGCATTTGTATAAGAACACTTATCCCTGCAGTAGATATTCTGCCATCAAGTTGTACATTTAATTAAAATCATGGATTTCATTACGTTAAGGAAACAAGTAAATAATTTACGATTATGTATAGTGTCAGGTCATGTGATTTTTTACCTGGCATCGGCAGTTCTTCTGGTAGAGACTAAGCAGTCCCGTCCTCTGTCGATAAGTCAGCCTGGTCAGATCCTGTACCCAGTCACAACTGTCCACCCAGAATATCCTCCTGTTGATGTGACCTGTCAGGATGTACGTGGAGTTCTTAAGAAGAGATACGCGACAGTCATAAAGTGACCCTGGCGTGTTGATTTTGAGATGACGATTAATAGATCGTCTTCTCCCTCTACCCCGTTCATACTACAGAGAAAAACAAAGTGATATATTAGATAATGTATGATATTACAAATCTGCAAATTATATTGTGCACATATAACACGAGACAAAACCAACAGAAATGCTGTACACATCATACTATAAAAACAATGCCATCTCATAAGACAGGTTTACCTGTTTATACTGACTTATCTTGTACACATGATATACAAACCAGGTGGTCTCCTAACACAGGGTTACCTGTATATACTGACTTATGCTGTACACATGATTTCCAAACCAGGTGGTCTGATAAGACAGGTTTACCTGTATATACTGACTTATCTTGTACACATGATATACAAACCAGATTGTCTGATAAGACAGGTTTACCTGTATATACTGACTTATCTTGTACACATGATATACAAACCAGATTGTCTGATAAGACAGGTTTACCTGTATATACTGACTTATGCTGTACATATGATTTACAAACCAGGTGGTCTGATAACACAGGTTTACCTGTATATACTGACTTATCTTGTACACATGATTTACAAACCAGGTGGTCTGATAAGACAGGTTTACCTGTATATACTGACTTATCTTGTACACATGATATACAAACCAGGTGGTCTCCTAACACAGGTTTACCTGTTTATACTGACTTATCTTCTACACATGATATACAAACCAGGTGGTCTCCTAACACAGGTTTACCTGTATATACAGACTTATGCTGTACACATGATTTACAAACCAGGTGGTCTGATAAGACAGGTTTACCTGTATATACTGACTTATCTTGTACACATGATATACAAACCAGATTGTCTGATAAGACAGGTTTACCTGTATATACTGACTTATGCTGTACATATGATTTACAAACCAGGTGGTCTGATAACACAGGTTTACCTGTATATACTGACTTATCTTGTACACATGATATACAAACCAGATTGTCTGATAAGACAGGTTTACCTGTATATACTGACTTATGCTGTACATATGATTTACAAACCAGGTGGTCTAATAACACAGGTTTACCTGTATATACTGACTTATGTTGTACACATGATTTACAAACCAGGTGGTCTGATAACACAGGTTTACCTGTATATACTGACTTATCTTGTACACATGATATACAAACCAGATGGTCTGATAACACAGGTTTATCTGTACACTTTTTATACAAATCAGGTGGTCTCCTTACACAGGTATACCTGTTTATACTGACTTATCTTGTACACATGATATACAAACCAGATGGTCTGATAACACAGGTTTACCTGTTTATACTGACTTATCTTGTACACATGATATACAAACAAGGTGGTCTGATAACACAGGTTTACCTGTTTATACTGACTTATCTTGTACACATGATATACAAACAAGGTGGTCTGATAACACAGGTTTACCTGCACATTTCTTATACAAGTCAGGTGGTCTCCTAACACAGGTTTACCTGTTTATACTGACTTACCTTGTACACATGTTGTACATTTACATGATAGGTAACACTCTGTAGACTGCCAAGGGGAGTCAGCTCTGTCGCTGTATCTTCTGTCACATAATTCAAGGTAATATCATCTACTCTGGCCGTTATTACTGCAAAATTGATAGTATATAATATTCTTGATGTTTTCATTATTATGTTTATTTCCTTAACTTTTGCTGGATATTTCTCATTGAGGAAAAAACGCACACACAAAATGTTGATATTGGCAAAGGGATACTCATTAAATGAGGTCAGATAGGACATCTTTGATATATTCCTTTTTGTGAATTAATGAAATACCTCAAATTTTAACTAGAAAACTTACCAAAATGAGCTGAGCAGAATAACTGTTGTGGGTGCTTGATAGCACATTTACAAGTGGTCACTAGTGGCCAAAATAACTGGACAGTGGTCAAGAGGACCAATAGTTTCTTTAGAAGTCCTTTGATATTGGTAAAATCCATGACGATATACACTTAAGTGAAATTGCTACAGAATGCAATGTTTGACCGTTGATGTTCCAGATGGTCTCTTGTAAGTGTTCATGGCTTATACATGTTTATTGTGACGTAGGTCGTGGGTTGTGTGTCGAGCGTCATCCAAGCTGTGTTAGATCTCACCTTTGTTGTTGGATGACTTGATGACCTGTTGTCCCCGTATATGATATATGAGTTAAGACATGAAACCGAAGCCAAATTTTCTATTGCTTAATCTCCAAAACATTGCAGTTTCTGAGCTTTGTTAGGGTAGCAAGTTTTGTCTATGAAATATATCATGTTCTATTGTCTATAGACCTAATGGAGGACTAACCTGTTTCTTACTTAAGTCAGGTCTTGCTGCAACAATAGAAAATAGCATTTGTAGGTAATTCTAAAATCAAGAGATGTGTATGGGCTTATTATTGGTTAAATACAATAAATATTCACAAAAAAAAACATTTTAAATTGTTTTTTCTTCTTCTTAGTCGTCATCATCATTTGTTTTGATTGAAAGAACACGGAAGATTTCTTATTCAGTTTTGACTGATGAAAACAATAATGCTATCAAACTCAAAATGTCCCTCAAATTAAGCCAATTTGAAATTGTTGCATCTTATAATATTTCATAATACAATTTTCTTTTTTGTTTCAAAAAAGGTAAATAATAATAAAAACAAAATATACAATTACTATTAATTGCCAAAAAGGTTGTGCATATGTTCATTTTTTTTCTTGAATGAGCAAGTTTGAAATATGTATGAAAACCTGGTAGATTGGACAAATGTCCTGTAGCCTGGGCAGTGTTTTATATTTCTGGTTTTAAGTTTACATGGCAAACCTGCTGTTGATAATAGGATGATATATTGTGACTTAAAAAGATCATCAGTCAGACAATCCTAGACCAGATGTCATCAAGGGCAGACAACTCTACATACCAATTGATGGTGAAGAAAATTTGAAAACAAGATTGCTTAGTTCAATTTTGGCCATGTTTAGTTGATATACGTGTGAATAGAGGATGGAGTCAAAATGTATGTAAACAGATTTAAAATCTATGTCATCAACTGTCAATCTGGTCAGTATGTTCCTGATGTTGTCCCTTTTATAGGATGTGTGTAGAAACTGATACATGTTTATCAGTAATTGTGTCAGTAAAGTTAAGCTGGCAGATTCTTGTTTAAAATCCAAATAAATTAGCCAAGTTTATATTAAAAATATTACAGGAAGACTGCCATGGTGCTGTAGGAGTCATGAAAGGCAGGAATATTCATATGTTATAGAGAAGTTTACATTTTAGATCTATTTTAAAAGGAGCAATTAAACATCCAAGTTCAGTGAGTTACCTAAATTGTTCAAATTGTTCCAAATCTTTGCTGCAGATATTTATACAGATTTGATACGTGCATATAGCAGTTTCTATACTGCTTTGATACATTAATATGTATTTAGAAGTTTCTATACTGATTTAAATCAATGTCTTAAAGCTTATTTACTGGAACACATTTTATGTCAGGAAATATCAGAAGTATTGAAAACAGAAACATAAGTATTGTTGTAATGACACTTTTATTTCACTTAATCTCAGCTTAATTTACATCAGGATTATTTTTACATTTTTTTTTAAATATCAGTATTACAATGACTACTGTATAAAACAATACTACAATACAAGCACTACAAATGAAACAAATGTTCACAAAACAGTTTCCTATTGATATGTATTGCTGTACAATTCTTGTTACATATATATATACACATATATAATTATATGATATTTAAATTATCTAAAATCTAACTTTTTAAAAAATATTACCATGCAGGAGTTATCTCCCTTTATGTATTTTTCTATTGAAACTTTATTTACAAATATAGAATAGCTTAATGTAACCAAAAATTAAAAAGAAAGAAAAAAAAAGGGGAAAAAAAGGAAAAATGGGGAAAAAATTTCTCAAGAAAACATACAAATTGTCATCAAATCATCATTTATTTAAAACAGTTTAATTACATTTTTCGGTGAGTGCTTTTAATTAAAAAGATAATTAAGCAGTTAGGTGATGAAATGTTCAATTGTGAAAATGATTAATATTAGTTTCAGACATTCATATTTATATATATATATATAGTTGAAAGTTTGGAAGGAATTTATGACTTACTATATACACAGACAACAAACCAAATGACTTATTATTCCACCTATAATAAACAAGTATGATAAAGAAATGAAAATATATATCTCTTTAATAGTAAATATTGAAATGAACATGGTGCCCTATTGCTTCTTTGAACTCAACACAGAGGTTGAATGTGAATGTTACGAATGCTGAGTTTCGTGACACAAGATGTTTATTAAATATTTACACCTGTTTGTTTACAATGAATTAATACAAATTGATAGCAGTTTGACAAATGTAAATCTCATTACACAAACTTGAAAGCTATGCTTGTATGATGCTACTGTTATAGGTACCAGCAAAACATCCAAATTTTCATTTCAATATTCATGAGAACGATTAGTTTGATTGAACATCAGAAAAGAAGAATATTATATAAAATTTCAAATGGTGTATTGTAACCTGATGCTTTGTGTGAATTGTGCTTTACTTTATGACACCATGACTTAATGAAATAGTTATAAGGAAAAGATATGATTCTATCAATATCTTTTATTCTAACCACAACAAAGCTGAAAGAGGAACCATTTTGATAAGTTTGTGTGTGTTGTCAGGGTCCATCCCCACTGAAATCATTTTTTGTTTGCCTGGTCAGTGTTGATACATAAAATCTTATTCTAAAGATGTGTGGAGTACATAGTTCTGACAAAAGTAATCCAGTCTGCTGTTTAAATCTCTACTACATTTGTTGATTGTAATGTGGAGCTGTTCTTTTAAGCTTGCTTTTTGAGATTGATCAAAGTTTCGAGAGCTGCTAATTAAAGCTATATCTGCTTGTTATGCTTGATCAGCGTCTGCTTTTTGAAACTGCTTTGTTTGCCTGATCCAAGTCGTCTCTGTAAAACTATGCATGGTTTGCCTGATCAGAATTTGAAGCTGCTCTTTGAAGCTGGAAGAAATATACATCCAAACCTATTTATCACAGATCCACTAAAAGTACATGATACACAGACTGTTACAAAATGTCTCTTGCTTTGCTTTGTTCCTGCTGCCATCTTACACAACCATCTGTTTTTCTAGTCCAAGGGGGACAACTCTATCACATCTATGCTGTCAGCATAGCTATCATCTAAGACTATATTACAGTGGCTATGTTTCACGGTTCCTGGTATCCAGGAAAATTTGGACTATGACCATTTGACTCATTGCTGGTTTCCGGTGAAATTTCGGGACCTATGGGTAAATGGGGTCGATTCATCCAAGGAAATGATTGTCCGTTTTGTTTCAAACAAACTTTAAACTGCTTGTTTTTCTTCCATTGGCATGCACCATCCATCCTTACACACTGTCCGTGACGTTGGAAACAATCTTTGCTCGGCGTCCGGTCCCTTCTGAGTTGATACTTGCAATAATCACGGCGAAAAAGTTTACGGGCTGCAGGACAGTATCCACCCTCATAGCAGGAAGTCACCTACAGAGACAAAAATGTATGATTGTAACTTTGTCGTTTATTGAGCCCTTTGTATGTGGGGTGTCATTACTTTATAATTTAATGCTTAATTAGATACCAATAGATAACTTAGCAAGGCGGAACATGGCTGAGATATCCCTTGTTCTTTAAAATGTATGGTATGCCAAAAATATGAACAGGCAATTAAAATACAAGCTTAACGAAGAATATTTCATCGATATTAATTCGTCTTCATAAAATGGAGGATCAATAAAGTTCCTGTTGTTGTGAAATGTACATTTTATCTGACGTATAAAAATTTCTTAGTACAGAAAATTGTTTTTATTCATTAAGATTTATTAAGTATCAGTTGTTTGACAAATTTGAAAACAGCAGAAAATGTGAAGGAATAGTTAATATATAGTTTAGGAAAAAAATATATGAGGGTAATGATTTTTTAAGAAGTAAACAATAGATATTTGAAGAAGAAGAAAAAAATGTGAAGGTATGGTAAAAAATCAGATCAATGTGAAGACATAGTAAAAATTGAAATAAAATGCAAAGATATTGGAAAAAAGAGAAAAACTGAAGGTGTAGTACAAAACAGATTAATGTGAAGGTATCATTAAGTAAAAACATACATTAAAAGTAAAATGTACTTTGTGCATAGAAATGAGCAAGTTGTATGGTCATTGTATTTAAGTGCTAAAGAAAGTGAGTGCAGCCAATGGATTACAGCCAAGAAATACATCAAGGTAATGTTATCAGCTGGTTAAAGAAACCTTTGATATACACTACACTGGGCCAGCTTTAATTCGTAATCATCCAAACAGATATTTTACTCTCCTCAGTCGCGGGTCACAAAAGTCAGGATTTTGAGTAATGGTAATTAAATGTGTTAGTGCGAATATCAAACACAGGCTTTCTGTATATCTTCCAACTTCAAACAAAATCAGACTTCTGCGGAAAGATATTTTTTTCGCACATTGGCAGAAAGGATTAGAGTAAGCTAGCTTTAGGAAGTATTGTATGACTACATATGTCAACCATCGCTCTATTTAGTCAAGAAAGGTCAAAATTTATCACATGAAAATGTGTTTTATGTATAACTTGAAAGTGGATTGTTACGATGGTGATAGTATGGTAGGAAGTTGTTTGAAATGTTAGATGGCTAAGTAATGCAGTCTGTAATTAGTCAGAATTGTTTTCTATCACAAATCTTTGATGTTTCAAAAATATCGATACTGCCATTACAAAGACTACATATGTACTCAATATTCTTGGTATTTTCTAATATTCTGGAAGGACACTGCCAATTTTTATAATTTCAAACAGATGTTTCTTTCATGAATTTGATGTCATTGAATGAGGGCTATCTCATCTCTATCTGGTGTTTGTATTCAGTTGCATCGGATCTTGGTGTCAATATGTTGACTTCCCTTGAATTTTTTTTTCTGTTTCTGTTGAAATAAGGTAAAATTTCAAAGATAAAAGCTAGAGATTGAGTGTAAAAGAGATGAATTTGAAAAGTTCTAAGACCAGCTGTCTATATGTCTAGCAATTTAGAGTGAAATTGATTTTGACTTCCAAGGATAATTCTGATTTCAAATGTTGTTATCATGAAATTTAATATTACTGATGTGTTTTTTTTTGGACTGTGGAAGTCTGATTTGACAAGATAGTATACCTAGTGTGGAGGTTGGGGAGGAGGTTGAAATTGAAAGGGACAGTGTGATGAATATCTATGTTCTACTAGTGTTTATTGAATATCAATAAATTTGGAATCCGTTTCTAAAACTTGTTAGGTCTTAATCCATGACTTGTCAAAATAAAGCCCCTTGGTATTTGAGTGCTAAAGTCTCCTGGCATATTGAGTCTTATACCCCCTGGAGTCTGAATACTATACCCCCTTGCTAAGGCCCCAGGGAGTCAGCGTGTTATAGTCCCTGGGAGTCAGTGTGCTATAGTCCCTGGGAGTCAGTGTGTTATAGTCCCTGGGAGTCAGTGTGCTGTAGTCCCTGGGAGTCAGTGTGCTATAGTCCCTGGGAGTCAGTGTGCTATAGTCCCTGGGAGTCAGTGTGTTATAGTCCCTGGGAGCTAGTGTGATAATTTTTGAAAGCATGCATTAGCAGAGAGATGAAGAGTGATAAGGATAAAGATTTTTAAAAAATAGTGGCTGAAGTAATTAAAAAGGATTATACTTACTTTACAACCACAGTTGTGTTTGTACTTGAACTTGAGAAACTTTTTCTGTTGAAGATTGAGAGTTTTGTACTCCTGAAACCAGCCACAATAGTTAATCCACAGCTGGTTGTTACGGATTGTACCTGATAAAATGAAAAGATCCTAGTTAACTAGTTTAGTTTTAGTTAGTTCTCACTCATTCCTTTTATCTTTCATTTGAAATGTGTTGAATTTATGTAAGAACATAATTTTGGAAAAACAGACTTTACCCCATATTTTGTCATGTTTCAACAGGGATTTTAACCCCTGTCACCTAGGTAAAGGGCAAGTGTGTTACCATTGTGTCACCTAACCAATCGCTGTTGGTTAAGTAAGAAAATCTTTATAAGATTTCATTCTACCTAATTAAGGACACATGCTATCTTTCTTTATACACAAGTTTGTGTGAGAGTTGTCCCCCTTTATCATATTGATAAATATAGGTTAACTTACTTGATTAATATATTAGTCAGAAAAAATTGAGTTTTGTCAATGTGAATATTCTTGTATTCTTATCTAACTTTTACAAAGGACATGTGTAAGTCTAGCATCTAATTGTCATTCAAAGTAGATTTTTTGTTTGGGATTGTGCCAGTGACTCTAGATTATGTACATAATGAGATATATATATACCATATCAGATATGACACTAACTACACAAATATACAACTTAACCACATCTGCTGATACAATGGCAGTGTTTTTTTTAGAATATCTGAGATTTCTTTGCTTGGATTTGTGTGGAATGAGGTTAGATTACTGAAGGATTACTTTTCAGGGATAAAGATATATTTGCCCTGTATGATAGTGAGTTTGTGATGTACTAGATGGGATTATGTAAGATCTGGTTTGTATAATTCCTTGGTTGTGTATTAGTCTTCACCACAGCAATTTTTACTCTGTGCCAATTATTAATGTCCTTGTAATATTTCCTTATCATTTTTGTGGTGCCTCAACTGACTACTCCATGCAAAGTGGTTTTTTTCTCACTAATTTTTTCAGTTAGTTAATAACCCTCTCCATCAAGGTAGAATATTATATTATTCAAAACTGCTGACAACTCCATTCTTCTTTAGAAAATACCTATATAGAATACAGATTATGATGGATTTCTGTTAATATCACACCTCTTAATATCATATAGATATTAACACATTTTGAAAGTTGTTCTGTTTATTATCTTACAACTCACCAGATAAAAGGTATGTTTTGCGGTGCTCCAGTATCACACCACAAGCAGCGTCAGAACCACCTGTGTACAGGTATTTCTTTAAGGCTCTTTGGTATTCTTTGTTGAGATTTCCCTGTGAAAGAGAAAAAATGATCATCAGAGAACCTGTCAAAAGATAAGTTTGTTAACTTAATCACGTTTTTGATAGGCATTAGTGTACCTTTTTTTTCCCAGTAATGAGCCCATGCCTTGTGATAAGCCCACCCACAACTATTGCTTTCCCAAGACAAGAACTACTTCAATGTCCTATTAACAAACCCAATGATTCTACTTTGAGTCAGAGACAATGCCTAAGGATACATCCACTGCATATATGTCCAATGTTACAGACCAATACTATTTTGGTCAATTTTAACATTTATAAAAGACAAAGGTCACTTTAAATCATTCATAAGGCATTGAAGTTAATTACCTTAAACGTACGATGCACTCGGACTCTGTAGTGGCGTTCTAAAGGTATCCGAGAGTCGAAGGAACTGCTGACAAAATCTACGTTCGACATCGGTAACTCATTCCTGTCTTCATGTCTGCTATAGATTATCTTCTGTCCTTTCACAGTAGCCACCAGGACTGAAATGTCAATCAGAATATGATATTATACCTAAGTACATTAGCCACAGCATTCTGTAACAAATTGAGTGGGAGTATTGAAATAAATTGTAGAACAGTTAAGGCTGTGTTTTTTAATTATAATGATATTCCCCAATTTTGAAAACGTCTGAAAACAGTTTTGCACTGAAGATGGTCATTCAGATTATAAAACATCCAAGTGAAATTCTGATCTGAAAAAACGAAATTCAAGAAGATAGAACATTGATGTTTATTGGGCAGCAAATAATGTTTTCACAGGAAGTTTGGGAAGTTTTTGCTGACTGAGACAGAAAAATTCTGTTTATTTGTGAACAAATAAGTTTGATATATTTATCCTTACATCTTGAATATTACGATCACATGTTTTTATAATCTAACAAATGTCCCACCATCTGCTAATGGTATATAAATTGTAATGTGTAATATACAGGATGATTACTTAAAGATTTTCTGAAGTAAGTGTTTGATATCTTTGGTACAAGGAAATGTAATGAATGTAGGCGGTCAAAAGCGTATCCAAATCACGCCGAGCTCCTATGTTTTTACTATGACCTGATTAGGATTACAGAGTTTTCTCCCTTTATACATCTTTGGAACTCTTCAATCAAAGAGGATCAAAATGTTGAAATAAATTGAAGATCATGTTTCAGCTGATTCAATCAAAATTTGAGGTTTGTTTGTCTTTAGTCTTGTAGTACTGTGTAAGTAACGACTATAGAAGCTATCACATAGCCATGTTTTTTTAAACTGAGTCCAAAACAGTTACAATAAGTAGCTGCATGTTCCAAAAATTCCTGTGGGCTATTACTGTTTTCTCTGTCTAAAACCTTTTGAAGAGTGATTCATGAGAGAAAACAGTCATGCTGTATGTATCAAGCCTTGGATTACAATTTGTCTAGCATCACTCACAACAAGTAAACATTTGTATTCACTGGTATTGATTGTTGAGTAAAAAAGATTGTGTTGCATCGATTTGTCATACTAAACTTAGTGCGTGATTTCAAATCAGTCAAGGTCTTTGACACCAAGACAATAAACTGAGAAAACGCTGGACTTGAAATTTCAAAAATTATATATGAAATTAAGTAGGCTGGTGATTAATTGTGATGCTAAGAAAAAGATACACTTGCTTTTTTTAAGTTTATCACTTATGTTTAGAAATACGGTTATTACAGGTGTGGCTACTGTGTCATTAAAGTGTAATTTTATATTTAGATATAATGTTACGAATGCCGTAAAAATTAAAATAACGAAAACACCGTCAAAATCCGTCACCCCAGTGTCGAGTTATTAAAGCTCAAAGTTCACCTGTCCGCTCAGACCTAATCAACGTAATCGTCATTTCCATGGAATCGAGGCGCTTCTACTCGTGACGTCATAAGTTCAACAGAAATGGCAGCCAACATGACTGAGAGTGACAACGACACCGCACCTGATAGCGATTTGAACATGAGTTTTGAGGAGTCTGATTATGGTGTGAATGATATTTCTGAAGACGGAATCCAGCCCTACCGATTTGAACTGGAATTGCAAGACGATGTATCAAGTGAGGAGGAAAATAACATCGTCATTTAGTCAACCTTTTTTCGGCGGAGTCCAATCCATTGCTTTCATTACACTATACCGAATTGGAAATGAAGTTCCGTCGAAGTGTTTTGAACAAAAATATGAATATTTCGTTGGACCTTTCCATATGTCTGTCTTCTTCCTGACAAACTGAATCCATTGTTTGCATAAATCTGGCCTATTTAATGGGAAGGCATGCATTGACACCCCATCCGTGTTAGTGTTAGGACGGTGTCGTGAATTTTCATACCGAAGAATTTTCGTCCGAGGGGAATTTTCGTAGCACTATGGATATATATAGATAGGGTGTCAACAACCAATTATAACACCCTCCGCTGTGTTGATAATAAAAAATCGATGTTTTAGAAGTTTATACAATGATTTGACTGGTTTTTACACAAGTACTGGTACGCGTCTGTTGTTAGCCGACAGACGTGTCGTCTCATCATTCTTTTTTCAAGCCACAGAGGCGCTAATTACCTAGCCTGGCACAGGTGTGATTATGAGTTTAGATGACATCTCTACACATAACGTATTCTATAGTACTACTGTATGATAGTAGTACGAACATTCTCAGGACGAAAATACCATGGACGGATTTTCTTCGGTACGAAAATTCCCGGGACCGTTAGGACAACCATATGCTGCACACTGCTTCCCTCCTCGATAGGAATCCATTTTAGCGGATTTAAGTGCTAATTCACCGACCCCTCGTTCATTACCTTAAATATTGCGAAGATGTGAAGTGCTTTCACGTAAATAAATGAAGAAATTACCGCGGAAAATCCCAAAATAGATCACAATCACATGAAGCACAGTAAAGACAATATGGCTGCATCAACAAAAGCGTTGAACTTATGACGTCACAGGTTTGGATGCCCGAAAACGAGGTCAACGCCTCTCAGCCAAAGGTGTGTTTTTCAGAAAAGTCGCAATTTCTCAGTAACGGAACATTCCACGGCACTCGCGTTTTCAGCAATGTGTATTTTATGTGCAGAACTAATTTTTAAGCTCAACATAGCTGACCTCTCAGGGTACACTTTAAGTATGGCTTGTGTTAAGATATGACTGGTTTTTACATGTATTACTGATGTTTACAGGTATTGCTAATGTTCGCCTGTATAATAGATTTTTATGGGTGTGGCAAGTCCTCAATGGTAAGACTGCTGTTTACAAGTTTAACTGGTGTTTACAGGTAGAATTTTGCCTCTATATGCCTGAAGTGGGATGAAACTCTGTGTCTGAAGTGAGATGATATTTTTTGTCTGATGTGAAATGAAGTTGTATGTCTGATGTGAGACGAAGGTTTATGTCTGATGTGAGACGAAGGTTTATGTCTGATGTGAGACGAAGGTTTATGTCTGATGTGAGATGAAATTTTATATCTGATGTGGGATAAAGTTTAACGCCTGATGCGATATGAAGTCTTGACAAACAGTATAATTGTAGCTGTAGATCCTGATAAACCCTTGATATCTTGTCAAGGTGAAAACAAACAAATACATATGAAAACCTAGTAGTAAACATCACACATGTTGACCAATAGTATGAATACTTACTGAAGTCAGATCGACAGTAGAGGTCTTGACTATGTGACACCATACATGAACATGATAATGTTTCTTTCAGAGCTAACAGCAGCACAGATAGGTACAGTAGTAATTCCATAGTGTTAAGTAGAATTGTCCTTTATATATATCACACCACAGGTGTCTCTATACCTGTTCTGTCACAGTTGTGATAGGTAACAAAGCTAGGTAATCCAAGTCACAGCCTCTAGGTGACAAAGTTAATCCAAGTCACATTTGTTTAGTCACAGCCTCCAGGTGACAAAGTTAATCCAAGTCACACCTGCTTAGTCACAGCCTAACCAGATAATCCAAGTCACATCACAGGTAGATTCACATGGAAATCCTGCAAAGAAAAAGCACCTCTTGTAAAACAAATGCACATTCCAGAAGTTTGTGGAAAACCCTAGTGGAGGTGATAAATGATGAAGTGATGCTGGAAATATAAAGAGGATTGTACGATCATCTCTAGCACCGTTGAGTTAGGAGTAAAGAGACCAGCGTAGGTAGGTAACATAGGTAGTGTATTACTGTACTATACTGCTGGCAGCTATCCCATTCATACTAGCCCTACTACTTCATCATCAGTGCTGACTGGCAGCCAGGGCTCCTGGTCTATTCTACTTATATATACAATGACTGGTTATGATGGGCATTTATTTATGTGGCTAATGGAATAGATCAACATTGTATAGCCGAGTTTTTGAGGAGCTTGGGTGTCTAGAATGTATTAACACATATCTTAAATACCTACCTGTACTTCAGGTATACATCATAAATATTTATCTAGCTACCTAATTGTCTGTTGTTTACTTGTAATTCTTTTAGTTCTCCTTGATAAATCAACAAATACATTTGAACAAATATTTATCTAGAAAATGTTATATTAATGATCCCAGCACACGGAATAAAACTTTACCAGTAACTACTTGTACATGTTTTACCTGTACAAGACTTACACTACCCTACCGGTCCATGATTTACCTGTATAAGACTTTGGTTACCTTACCTGTACATGTTTTACCTTTATAAGACTTTGATTACCTTACTTGTACATGTTTTACCTGTACAAGACTTATGCTACCCCACCTGTACATGATTTACCTGTATAAGACATTGATTACCTTACCTGTACACATTTTACCTGTACAAGACTTACGCTACCCAACCTGTACATGTTTTACCTTTATAAGACTTTGGTTACCTTACCTGTACATGTTTTACCTGTACAAGACTTTTATTACCTTACCTGTACATGTTTTACCTGTATATGACTTAAGTTACTTCACCAGTACATGTTTTACCTTTATAAGACTTTGGTTACCTTACCTGTACATGTTTTACCTGTATAAGACTTTGATTACCTCACCTGTACATGTTTTACCTGTATAAGACTTGAGTTACCTCACCTGTACATGTTTTACCTGTACAAGACTTACGCTACCCAACCTGTACATGTTTTACCTGTATAAGACTTGAGTTACCTTACCTGTACATGTTTTACCTGTATAAGACTTTTATTACCTTACCTGTACATGCTTTACCTGTATTGAACTTAATGTTACTTGGGCAAATAATTTCCTACCTTTCCTGTAGTTTGTTCATCGGTACTTTTACCTGACCAGGCAGCTATAGGAACATGTACACAGGTGTAATTTCCACACATGGTGACCTTTTATGCCTGTTAGGATCTTATTCAATCAAGTGTTGATTTATATAAACTCGAGATTTACACAAGTTTATGTAGAAATGTTACATTGTAGTCTGTTAGGAAATACACAGCACTCTATAGTACTAGCATAGCATTTTCCCTTGCCTTGATGTGACGTTCAGTCACATACGTTCCCTTGAAATGGCCATGAGGAGATTTTATAGATACTGATAAAAAGGTTAAGAGTTTTACCTGCTGAATAGAAACCATTGATTAAACCATAAAACTGTTATTTCAGTAGCTTGATCAATATTCTTATTTTGTCAGACCTGTTTGACTTCAATACATGTTTCAATTTTTTTAAGACCCTGTCATTCAAGCAATAGATTTGTTATTTATTAACTTGAAGTGCATTTTCGACGTGTGTGTTTCAGTGTAAGGAGGGAGGTTTTTATGATACACCCAGGTGCTCCTGCCTATAGTGTTATAAGACTTATGTTTGTACAGGGAAAGAAGCATGAAGGCAATAGATGTATTTAGTAAATATGGAAACCAAATGTATTCTATATTGATCATCTTCACCCTGTTTGTTCTATACACTGTCTTCAGATTGATATATTAATCAATGTATTAAGCTGTCAAGTGCTTAAGTTCCACTTCATTATCATTAAAATCTCGGTCAAATACAGCTCAAGTACCCTTGAAATATACTGCTAGCCAACAACTACAAAACACTTTAAGTTCATCGAACTTTGCCCCCAAACCTAATTGCAAACCCCACCCCTCCCCCACCCCTACCACAAACTTTAGATTTATTGAACTTTGCCCCCCAGCCTAATTGCAAACCTCACCCCTCCCCACCCCTACCACAAAGTATACTACTATAAATTTATTGAACTTTGCCCCCGAGCCTAATTGCAAACCTCACCCCTCCCCACCCCTACCACAAAGTATACTACTATAAATTTATTGAACTTTGCCCCCGAGCCTAATTGCAAACCTCACCCCTTCGTACCCCTACCACAAAGTATACTACTTTAGATTTATTGAACTTTGCCCCCGAGCCTAATTGCAAACCTCACCCCTCCCCACCCCTACCACAAAGTATACTACTATAAATTTATTGAACTTTGCCCCCGAGCCTAATTGCAAACCTCACCCCTCCCCACCCCTACCACAAAGTATACTACTATAAATTTATTGAACTTTGCCCCCGAGCCTAATTGCAAACCTCACCCCTCCCCACCCCTACCACAAAGTATACTACTTTAGATTTATTGAACTATGATTTATTAGATTAATTGGCTGTATTGATTTACTAATAAAAAAAAAATGACAGCTAGTAAATAGTATGTTTGGACTGTTTTAGACAATAAGATTTTCAAAGCTCATAAAAAATGTTGAAATTTAACTAAGTCAGTGGTATGTATGATTGAATGGAGCATTCATGACTGAAACAGTATCTTTTAATTGATTAGAATTTATCTGTTTTTTATTTAAGCTGAATATCAAATCATGAGAAGACCAGTGTTTATGAGGCAGAATGTCTGAAAAGAATTTAACATGTGAATAAAGGTCATTTGTAACAGTACTCACCTGATAAATGGTTGTAGAGCAATCCAGTTTGGGACAAGTGCCCAGACGTGGAGCCAATTAGACTCGAACTAAATTTTACGTGCTGCTTACTCCAAACTTTACAATCCATACAACTATGATATCTAGTGTTTTTCTTTGTGTTTAAACAAGATAATCATAGAAGTTGTAAAAGTTGCCGTTATCACAGCGACTGTGACGGATAACTAGATCTCCAGTAGTAATCTGCCCCTTTATAAGCATGCCGAGTGATTTCATTCATAAAAATTTCTGACGTCAAACTACCTATGTTCTAGGTTTTACCGGGAATTCGCTTGCTGGGCTATTAAAGGGTCTCGTAGTATACACATAACTCGGCTAGATACACTAGCTTTATCACTTTTGGAGTTTTTCCTTTTGCGTATATGACATCATAACGCCTTGGGGGTCAAGTGACTGCTTGACATTTGACTGGAATGTTGCAGTTGCTGTCAACAGCTTGTATATATATTTAGTAAATACAGGAAACTCAACAACATTAAAAGGAAGAAGATAGCAAGATTTTCTTCCTTTTTGTCTAGCCTAAGTATTCTCAAGCGTCACAGCATAGGAAACAACACTTAATTCATGACTCCCCCATATAAGGTAAAAATTCTGAAAATTAAAATTATTTCTGAATTATGTAAAATGAAGTTTTAAATTTTGTCTGAGTGAAACTTTTGCTAAATCAGAATGGGATGCTTTTCCTAATAATATTCATTCCTGCCAACACACATCACATCTGAGGCCTTTTAACACTGGACACAATTTTTCTTTATAAATAGTGTGTTCTCACTTTAATTAGATATGTCCCTATGAGAGAAGCATCCCCCCTCACGTCGCCAGAGAATTGACACACATCGATTGGACAATGCTTGGCGACGGGCAGAGTCACAGAGACAAGAAACCTTCATCATCATCTTTAATTAGATATTGTTCTTTAAAGAGAGGTTAAATTATAAAATGGTTGTTAAGTCTGTATGTACAGGTAAAGTGTAGATAATGTTCTCTATGGACAGGTGATAGTACATATTGAGACAAAATTGATAACTTTGGACTTCTTTTAGAAACTAAAAGGGATAGACATCTGGCCTGATTTCAGTCTTTATCAATGGTTGAAAATATCTCACATTCTATGGTTAAGGAATTGATGACCATTCATAGTTAAAGGCATAAACACCAAACACTGGTTCAAGAGAGGCAGTTCTAGGGCATGGTCGCTAAGTTCAGGGGTACAGGAGAGGCTGTTATAGGCTCTGAATGGGAGGCTGTAGATGTCTCTAGATAGGAAAACTTAGTGCAGGGGTACCTGAGAGGCTGGAGCCATGGTCACTTAGTACAGGGGTACCAGGGAGGCTGTTCTAGACTATGGACATGTCACTAAGTACAGGGGTACCAGGGAGGCTGTTCTAGACTCTGGACATGTCACTAAGTACAGGGGTACCAGGGAGGCTGTTCTAGACTCTGGACATGTCACTAAGTACAGGGGTACCAGGGAGGCTGTTCTAGACTCTGGACATGTCACTAAGTACAGAGGTACCAGGGAGGCTGTTCTAGACTCTGGACATGTCACTAAGTACAGGGGTACCAGGGAGGCTGTTCTAGACTCTGGACATGTCACTAAGTACAGGGGTACCAGGGAGGCTGTTCCAGGCTGTGGACATGTCACTAAGTACTGGGGTACCAGGGAGGCTGTTCTAGACTCTGGACATTTCACTAAGTACAGGTGTACCAGGTAGGCTGTTCCAGACTCTGGACATGTCACTAAGTACAGGGGTACCAGGGGGGCTGTTCTAGACTATGGACATGTCACTAAGTACAGGGGTACATGTCACTAAGTACTGGGGTACCAGGGAGGCTGTTCTAGACTCTGGACATTTCACTAAGTACAGGTGTACCAGGTAGGCTGTTCCAGACTCTGGACATGTCACTAAGTACAGGGGTACCAGGGAGGCTGTTCCAGACTCTGGACATGTCACTAAGTACAGGGGTACCAGGGGGGCTGTTCTAGACTATGGACATGTCACTAAGTACAGGGGTACCAGGGAGGCTGTTACAGACTCTGGACATGTCACTAAGTACAGGGGTACCAGGTAGGCTGTTCCAGACTCTGGACATGTCACTAAGTACAGGGGTACCAGGGGGGCTGTTCTAGACTATGGACATGTCACTAAGTACAGGGGTACCAGGGAGGCTGTTCTAGACTCTGGACATATCACTAAGTATAGGGGTACCGGGGAGGCTGTTCTAGACTCTGGACATGTCACTAAGTACAGGGGTACCAGGGAGGCTGTTCTAGACTCTGGACATATCACTAAGTATAGGGGTACCGGGGAGGCTGTTCTAGACTCTGGACATTTCACTAAGTACAGGTGTACCAGGGAGGCTGTTACAGACTCTGGACATGCCACTAAGTACAGGGGTACCAGGGGGGCTGTTCTAGACTCTGGACATGTCACTAAGTACAGGTGTACCAGGGAGGCTGTTCTAGACTCTGGACATTTCACTAAGTACAGGTGTACCAGGTAGGCTGTTCCAGACTATGGACATGTCACTAAGTACAGGGGTACCAGGGAGGCTGTTCTAGACTCTGGACATATCACTAAATAAAGGGGTACCGGGGAGGCTGTTCTAGACTCTGGACATTTCACTAAGTACAGGGGTACCAGGGAGGCTGTTCTAGACTCTGGACATGTCACTAAGTACAGGTGTACCAGGGAGGCTGTTCTAGACTCTGGACATGTCAGAATGTACAGGGGTACCAGGGGGGCTGTTCTAGACTCTGGACATGTCACTAAGTACAGGTGTACCAGGGAGGCTGTTCTAGACTCTGGACATGTCACTAAGTACAGGTGTACCAGGGAGGCTGTTACAGACTCTGGACATGTCACTAAGTACAGGTGTACCAGGGAGGCTGTTCCAGACTCTGGACATATCACTAAGTATAGGGGTACCGGGGAGGCTGTTCTAGACTCTGGACATGTCACTAAGTATAGGTGTACCAAGGGGGCTGTTCCAGACTCTGGACATGTCACTAAGTACAGGGGTACCAGGGAGGCTGTTACAGACTCTGGACATGTCACTAAGTACAGGGGTACCAGGTAGGCTGTTCCAGACTCTGGACATGTCACTAAGTATAGGTGTACCAAGGGGGCTGTTCCAGACTCTGGACATGTCACTAAGTACAGGGGTACCAGGGAGGCTGTTACAGACTCTGGACATGTCACTAAGTACAGGTGTACCAGGGAGGCTGTTACAGACTCTGGACATTTCACTAAGTACAGGTGTACCAGGGAGGCTGTTCCAGGCTCTGGACATGTCAGAATGTACAGGGGTACCAGGGAGGCTGTTCTAATCTCTGAATATGTCACTATGTACAGGTACCAGGGAGGCTGTTCCAGGCTCTGGACATGCTTGCTATGAATGGGCACCAGAGAGGCTGTTCTAAGCTTTGGATATTAAGCATGTTCATATGGAATCTGGACATCATCATCATGGGTATTCTCTGTAACTACAGGTTACTTGGTACAATCTGGTATATCTGTGCCAACACTGTGTGTATGCTGTGGTTGACCTTGGGCTTTTATCAGGAGAGGATGATGTACTATTGTTGTCATTGATAGTAGCCAGCGGTCAATTATCCAGTTTATAATAACCAGTTCATCTCCCAGTCATCCTTAGTTACAGATATAAATGTTACCATTTGCCAAAATTTTCTGGACTCAGTGACACACACAGAATCTACATAAATATTTGAGGAAATTAGCATTTGAGATGATGAAAATCAGATATTTTGTTTTTTGTTGAGATTTAAAACACAAATTTTTGTAAATAAAACTTTTTCATTATGTTTTTGAAACAATTAAAATAGGATGGGCTAAAATTTTAAACTATTTGAAAGTTAAAATAAATTTCCCGTGTGAGCCTGCGGTGGTATGTTGTGTATATATGGCTTTATATATACCTGTTGGTTACACATGACAAATGTGCATTCCACATGCCAAGATGACACCCCCTCATCACGTAGACACACTTAATGTAATAAAGACCCTTTTCTACTGCACTAATGGCATATTCAATTTCATTCTTAAAAATTTCCTGAAATTGATATTTGTGAAAGTTATCTACCACCAGCTGACTGCGGAGATTGTACAGGAAATATGTGAAATGACAGAGTATATAGTTGTGGAAATGCTGCATCCTTTATTAAGATAATGCAATGAATGTGAAGATAGTTGAAATACACTCTAGATGATATCATATCATTTCTCTACCTTTTAAAGTAGTTAAAATGGATACTGTGAAACTGAGGTGTCCATCTGTATGACTATCTGTCCGGCTGTCTGTTTGTCTCTGTAGCAAAGCAGATGGAGAAACATATATGTTTTTTTATGTGGATGGATTAGTAGATGGATGGATAGCTGGGCGGATGGATAGACAGATGGATGCAAGGATGGACAGGCAGGAAAAGATCTAAGGGATTCAGTATTTTGTCAGTTGATTTGCTAGTTGCAACAAACAAGAAATAAAAAAAAAAAACTGGAAAATTCATTGCATCACTTACAGGAACATGGAGCATGAAGTGTAATGATAAAATATGGGTTAAAAAAAGCAGTTTTATTAGATTTCATTCCTAATTTTGTTTTAATTACATTTGATCATGTAATAGAATAAAATATTTTATTAGACTTTCCTGGATGTTAGCATGGCACTTTAGTATGAAGGTGTCGAAATTAAATAACTGATTTGTATCAGAAAGGAAACATTTCCAATTTAAGATAATTTGTAAGGCATGAAAATGCATGTTTGCAACTTGATAACTTTGGAATGCTGTTGATAGTAATGTATAATTCAGTTTTACGTTTCGGGATCTCTTGATGTCCTTCACAGGTGTAATATTTTTTGTGGAGAATTTTATTACACAATAGCATTTTAAGTAGAACCAACATATTTCTGTGTAATTGTTGTTTGGTAAACAGCAATTAAATTTTCAAAAATATTTAAGATGCTTTCAGTGAGGTCCCTATTAACTGAATGTGACAGTGTTGTGAAAATATTTGTTCTATTTATGTTCAGAAAAGGTGAGATAAAATCATACGAAAGCTGTTAGTGTAATATTTATGACACAGGAACGGAAAAATTGCATGGCCAGACTGGGGTTTGAACC